AAATATTTTGGAAAAATAATTGTTTTTTGGTATTTTTGACTCAAGTGGTCCTGACTGAAATCATGCAGCCCTGCTCACGATACACAAAGATATAGCAAAAGATTGCCCAAATACACAGCTGACCTCTGACCTCCTCCCTGTTGCGTGAAGGCGGGTACAGCGTGGGTAGAAGCCTCGCTTTGATTGGCTGGCGACAGGCTTATGAGTGATTGGCAGCGCTTAATGAGAGCCCAAGAGAGGTAACCCGACAGCTGTTTGTTTGCTGCTAATGAGAGACTGGTAGAGGAGAGAGAAAGGCTCACACACTGGAACTGTTTGAAAGAGGCTGCCTTCAGAGCGCCTGGCAGAAAAGAAGAAGTCCTACCTCTCCCTAAGGGCTGGGCTCGGGGTCTGCTGCAGTGAGCCGCTCTGGAAGCTCCTGGGTTCTGTCAACGCTGTTCACCATGGATCGGATTTGATGTTTGCACAGAGACCAGGGAGATGCGGCTCGACAAAGCTTTGCTGTGTCTGTGATAATTAGGTTTAACAAGTTTGCATTGATCTTTCATAAAAGATGACTATATAAAGAAGACTTGAAAAGACAATGAACCATTTTTAGAATTTAGGACAGACAAAAATGTGATTTTTGGCTAGTTTTTTTTTCAATACAGAAATCCTACTTCGATTGTTCTTCCCTTCTGAGTTGTTATAAACCCCCCACAGCATGGTGGAAATAATTAAATGTGTAGTTTCCAACCAAATCTAAAACGTCTGTTGCACTGTTTCCGAAGGACAAACTGCCTGCTGTCTTTCTTTCATACAGACCTCCCCTCGGCTGGTGGGAGCTGCCTGATTTTAACAGACAGCATCAGGTGGCATGCTGTTACACCCAGCGCTGGAAACATCTACCGTGTTGAAAACATACAGGGCTAAAAATATCAGGTTGAATCCTCAGTTTTGCAATGTAAACTCTGAATTAAGCATAGCAGGTTCTACTTTCTACTCCGCTGGTCTCATGACAATCAATAAAGGCCTTGGCAGACTAGCTACTTAAAGGGATAGTTCTGCCAAAAAATGGGAAATTCTGTCATTGTTATCTCCCACTTGTGTTGTTGTAAACCTTTGAAACACTAAAGAAGATGTTTAGCTAAATGTCTGAGCTATTTTCTTCTGTATACCATGAAAGCAGATGGGGACCAGGAGATGTTAAGCTGCAATGAGAACAAAAAGCACCATAAAAGTAGTTCATACTTGTGCTCAGACTAAATTCAGATATCATATTTTGTGTGAAATCTTGCTTGACAGCTTCAGTTATTTTTCAGTTATACTGTATAGAAAAGAGCAACTTGGAAATTCTGCTATAACTATTTTTGTGTTTTTGTGTCTCAAGACATGAGAGCCAGTAAATGTTCAGTTTTAGGTGAATGATAACTTTAAATAAAAGGCAAACTAAGGATTAATGAGTGTTCACAATATCCTATGTTAATATAATGCTTGAATGAGATGAAGCTAAACTGCTTTGGCCTTGGCTTGCTTTTGGTAATGAAGGGCTTGAGCATGAAACTAAATTTCAGCATACAACCAGGACTACCAAATCACTGGTATTCGCATGACATTCTTTCACTATTATGACTTTTAAATGATAATATAGCACGTATGCTAACAAAACACTAAGTTTTAGCCACTAGCTATGTTTACATTAACAAATTTTCCTCATTCGGAATTTGGGGATATTCCTCAATTGGAATTCGGATCTGATTTCAGATTCTAAAAATAAGTTCTGTTTATATAAACATTAAACTTTAGAATCTGATTCAGTCGACAAGTTTAAAAATCTGAGAAAACCACTGCAATAATGTCACCAGAGCTTGTTTTTGCTTTGATGGCACATCTAAAATGAAAGCTGACATTTATATCAGAAGAGCTTCTTATAGCCAATGTAAATATTAAAGCTAGGGAGTGCAGTTTCGTAGAGGCTAGCAATAGAAGCTTTGAAAGCATAAGAACGAAAGGAGGGTCTCCCACCCTCCTTTCGTTCGAATTTTACGAGGTGACTAGTTCGTACGAATACATACGACCTCACTCGTACGAACTGATTGGTCGTGAGATAGCGTTGTCCTTTCAGAATGCTCTCCAAAGCCACGCCTCCACAAAAAACATGAACATGCACAGCTAGAGTAGAGTCTGCAAAGCGTCACGAGAGACGCCGTAAATTACCTCATGTCTCAAAGCACATCAAATTACAATAATATTGAACCTGGACCATAGAAACACATAAATCTGAGTCTGAGGACATGAACAACTCCGAGTAGAACTTTACGGGTTGCTATATCTCATAATTCCAACAGCATAAGCTCATTGTTTTGGTTCAGAAGGAACTGTAAAAGGTGGCTTCTGTTTGTTTGCAGTGCTCGGTGACTGCGTCCAAAACTTGAAACTTGCTTGTTTGCGACTGTTACAAAAGTACATTCTATGAATGTGTGTGATATAAATTAAATTTGGACATACTACATCTGCCATGTGGTCATTGTCATGTGACATATGGTGTATGTTGTGTCACTTTACCGTCGCTTTAAATCCTCTCCCGTGGCCTCATGGGATAGGCCCTTACCCAAATGGCACACTTCACTTACGGTCTTGTGGACTTACAATGGCCGCCCGGTTTCATGAGGGTGCTTGAGGGCGCCCACTTTTTGTTTGATATGCACCCTCGATGCACACTTTTGCAGAGCTGAACTGAAGCAAGCTTTGTTCAAAAAAGTGCGGACTCGAAGGAAGACTGCAGGTGTTTAGAGTGCCATTTGGGACAGTGCCAAAGTAAAGTATCCATCGAATGTGCACTTCAGAATCTCGCCGGAAGTAGTAGGTCATCTGGGTACTTTTTGCCTACTGTTTTATGAATACTTCAGACATACTACTTGTGTGTCTACAACTCTGCATATACTCATGGAACACGCTGATGACATGTCGGTCTGCATGAGGAGGGAAATATGCAAATGCATATGTTGACAGGCAGGTAGAACAACCTATATCATTGCATTCGGACCAAATGCAATGATTGGACAAACATGTGTGGTCCTCAGAGTTCCACACAAGGTATATGTACATTTTTTATATTTAGACCACTTCTGTTATTAATTGCTATCAGGATGTGAAGAGAGTTTCAACCTGTATGACAAAAAGTGTTTATGAAGAACATTGCCTACCCAAGCTTTAAGTCGTCTCCATTTACCAGTTCCTGAGAAGAAAGACAAAAATAAACATAGGCACATGTAAATACAGTATACGCATCATTGCACTGCGTATGCGTGTGTGCAAGATGTTTATGAATCCGATATTCAGGTTCAAGTATGTGCATGCTTAATTTTTTCCCTATTGATCAGATTATTTCAGGACTACTCTACACCACCCATTTCAATCCAAAGAATTTACATTCAGATCGAGCTCAATTGGATCGATTGGGGTGTTTACATAAAGGCTTTTTAATTCGATTGAGCGAGTATTTGATTCATTTGGTTGCATGTAAATGCATGCAGCTCAGCTCACCCACTCACCCTAATTTAAACAAGAAATAAACAGAGGCCTACATAATGTAGATGCAGCAGTATATGTTTCCAGTCTGTTGTTGCAGAGGGTCTTCATTCATGCAGCTGAACCACTCATCTCCATTCATTTCTATATGTTCTCATTTTTATACAGTAGCTATATTCATGGATAAGCTCTAGTCTTTCTCTTCACATAAACTGTTACACAATCTAGCATCCTGTTTTCAACATGAGAACAACAACAGCGGCTCTGTGTGTGTGTGTGTGTGTGTGTGTGTGTGTGTGTGTGTGCGTGTGTGTGTGTGTGTGTGTGTGCGCGCGCGCGCGCGCGGCGGCGATGGGGGAGTGGATTTATTGGGTAGATTACAGGCAACGTGAACACGCTTTGCCAGCCGTGTGTACTTTCAAACGCCCGTGGGTGGCGCCAAAAGAGCAAAGAGCGCTCGGCTCTCAACTGTTGAATGCATCAAACTGTATTTGTTCATTGGATGCGATTCCAACTCGATCAATACTCATCACATTTTACGACCCAATTGCTCAGGATTATGATCCACGCACGAGAAAGTAACGACACAACGAGCAGGGCTCTGTGGGTGACCCTTGGAAGGGTCTCAGTGCGTAAAGACTTTGAAGCCACCCCTTTAAAACTAATAACTCATTAAATGAAAAACAGATACTACAGACGTTTGCTAAAATGATCCGACTCATCTCTACGCGAATCGATTTCAATGTAGCCTACCAACTAAAAAAATGAACCATAGTTTTACTATGGTAAAAGTGTATATAGTAGGCTAACCATTTTTTGGGGGGGCGGACTGATTACCATTAGTACAACCACAGTTTCACTGCAAATATGGTTAAACCATGGTGGGTGTAGCAACACCATGGTGAATTTGTGGTTACCATGGTTTAACTGCAATAGGCTAACCATGTTTTTTTATTTTTTTTTACGTGTAGTAGGCCTAAATCCATGGTTAATTTTCGCTAACATTGCTATAGCCTATGTTCTCTAAAACGGTTTCTTACAGCCAACTCAGCTCATTAAAATGGGCTATAGAAAAATGCATTTGCCAATTAATATTTTTGCATTTCATATTTTTGATTTTCAGCAAGTAATTCACTTTAATTAGGCCCATCAGTCAAATATTTAGTTTAGTCCAAGGCTCAGACCACATGATTTCTCGGTTCAAAGAGAAATCCCTGTTCAAAGTTCAATAACTCGTAAACTCTTCAGACCGATTTAGTCAGATTCTGGTTTTGTGAACCGGTTCAGACAATTCCTTCAAATATTCCGACTCTAAAAACCCCGCTAATAGGGAGCAATGAAACACAATAAAAACAGATATGTGAAATATATATTAGGCTATTAACAATTATACTATTTTCCTAACCAAATTGTGCCTTTTTCATCAAACAGCCTGTGGCGCGCGAGAGCCCCACCTCCTCTCGCTCTGCGCGTCCGCCTGCGCGCGCTTCTAGAGGGGAACAGCGCGCGGTGCTGAGAAATCTCTCCACTCACTCTCTCACATGCATAGAAATGCAGGATTAACCCTGTGCGGAGACGAACCTTGTGCCAAAACTACGTTGATAGTCTACTTCTGAGGAAAGCGAAGGGGAGAAACCCGAATCCATACGTTCTACCATGTACTGTTACATTTTTACATTATTTCCGGCAGATTATGGTATCATTCCGTAAAGAATAACGAGGAGCACTATCACATTTTGTGAGAAGCTGCACTCTCCTAAAACGAGTGTTTGAGGATTTATGGACTGAAACGGGGGAAGCTCGGTTTAGAAGCGTTTCTGTGTTGAGAAACAACAGCAAAGACATTTGAACAGCCATCATTTCTCATTCATCAACACTTAAATGAGTGCCGACGTTATCAAACTGACGCGGAGTCGTGGGAATGGCGTGGAAAATAGCGCGGCTACTTATGGATTGTTTTCCAACGGAAGGATTTGATGTTTTCTTGATGTGTGGATTCTTTAAATCAGGTGTTTAGGGGTCCGTGTAATCTCGAAGGAAACATCAGCTGTAGTTGATCCTCAGACGAGAAGCCTCGGTCTTGGCAGGAAAATAAAAAGTGATCGACGAAGGTAGGCAACGAACTTTATTGTCGCCACTGGAAAATTAATAAAGCTGAGGGGAAGGTTCGATATGTCGATGGGTCACATTTAAATATTCGACACACCACGGCGATATGCCATTGCAGAAACTATAGGCGTTTTGAAAGATAATGTAGCCTATTGATGTCAGTGATTTGTGCGCGAGCCCTTATTATTTCGATATTTTGACCACATTAGGATGGCGTTTATATTTTCCAGAATCAATCGGGCTGCTTATGCTTATATACAAATAAGCAAATGGCACTTGTTTGTTACCGCTTTAGTCGACGCGACGCGAAGTCGGGAATCTTATTAAATAGGGCAGTAGCTACACGATTCTGCAGATCTTTTACTACGCATTTTAAGCTGCAGAACATTTATTCGTAATCCAGCTGCGATAAAGATAGTTGACGAACGACCAGTTGAATGCAGGCTACTGTTTGCTGCGCGCAACTGCAAGTCATGTATAACATTATTGTCGTTTAAAAACTCGCCATCTAGCCGCACAGGGTTAGATTGTATTCAACAAGGCTGCAGATATAAAGGAAATCGCAGTGGAGCGCCCACCTGGGTTGGCTGGGTCAACAGCAGGATCAATGTTTGGTCAAATCCCTGTAAGGCTGATTACAGGATTCCCCCTTCCACCATCTCCACCCACAACCCTCTCTGAGCTCGAAGGAAAGGATGATGTGTATCTACAAAATGGGGTTTAAAATACAAATAAAAATAATTAATAAATAAATATAGAATCCTTTCGTAGCCCCAAGAAGATGATGATGATAATAATCATAATAATAATTGTTGTTATTAGTAATTGTTGCATATACTGTGTTACATAGCCTACATCAATAACATACCTAAATAAACACTTTTTTTGCAGTTATCAAATAAAAAATTATACTATTTTTAATGACCTTATGCAAAGGATATTTAAAAAAATCACATGTTGGTCCAAAACTTATATATTTTTTCCTTCCAAAAAGAAGAAGAAAAAAATAGTGTATGATCTTAAACAGTCATTACTGAATTCAGTTGCCTGTAAAATCACACAGCATTTGTCCATAGGTTGGACAAATATGGGTAACTGATTTAATTGGACTGAGCTGAAATGCTAAACCTGTTGAACCTGAATGAATGTGATAACAGATGATTTACAGCACTGCTGAAAAATAAAAGGTCACAATACTTCAGGGAAAATAAAATGTCTGCATGAACTATCAGTCTCAAGAGCAGAGCGAGAATGACTTCCGAACTTGTTTATAGGGTGGAGTTCACCCATGTAAATTTCTGAAATTGTTGCAGGTATATTGTGCAGTGTAAGCAAGGCTTGGAATTACAAGTCTGAAAGTGCTTGTGCTGTAATTTCAACAGACCTCTGAATATTCTCAGCTCTGTGTGAGATTGAAATACACTGGCTGCATGTGGCTGCTTTTCGCTTAGATTGTTTAGGTGTACCAGCGTTCACTAGGGAGACAGTCCATAGTGAGCATATGTTCTGTTCTTTGCCTGTAACCAGCTGATGTCTTTGAAACAGACTGTATATTTAATGTTTTCATCCACATGTTTTCTGGTGCTAACTTTACTTGAGTTCAGAGATATTATAACAACCTTTTGTTCATGAGGCCCTCTGAATAGTTGAAAATCAACAGCCCTTAAATAGTTTGTTGAGTGTTTGTAGACTCTTATCAGGATGAGATTAAGTGCTTATGCTCTTGGGGTGTTTGAAGAGTCTCTTATGTAAAGAGTGTTGCCGTGTGTTGCATTTTAAATATTATTTTTATGATTTGCTGGATTCATGTATGAATCTGTGTCAATTTGTTGTGGCTGTTGAGGGAGTGAAAAACATTACAATGGCTTATACAACCTGTCAATGGAAGCAAGCTAGCAAGTAAACCTCGCCCTTACACATTTCTCTTACAAAATCTTCTCACTTCCCTGTGAACCACCCAACAAATACAAAATGCAATCAATACATCAAATGGAACACTGGAACTGGAGCTGAGGAAATAGCTTCAAAGTTTTTTGATTGATATTTATACTCAGTTTTCTATGAATCTGTGGATAGTTCAGCCAAGCCTGTCTGTCAGAGGACAGATCATAGACTAAGGGACCCAATTTCAGTCATAACCCACTTTTGACAAAATGTGTAGTTATTGTGCTTTGTCTTTGTAGGGCAGTGCAGCGTCAGTGGATTTCTATTCAGTTTAAATTTTGTGGTTACAAATAATTACATGCACTAGCCAATGATTTGCAGCAGCATACTTAAAACCTTTTAGATTTATAAATTCTGAAAAAGAACAAAAAAAAAAAACATAATGCACCAAAAAGCTGCAAAATGGCGTTTTCTTAGGACATAACGTATGGGCCAACATATGCTAACCGTTATGAGTATTTTCACACATCTATTCTATAGCAGTAGATTCAATGTTCAAGTCTTACCACATTACTAGGGTCCACCTTCCCACTGCCATGAGTGCAAGTTATTGCCTGGGCCTTCAGAGGCAGTGCTTTATGCCACAGTCCCTAATCATGTTTTTACCCTATACACTATCAGCACAGCTACATCGACAGGAGGCTGCCCTGCAAATGCAAAAAAGAGGACACATCAATACCTGGGCAATTAGTGCATCAATACGCTGCACTCCCAATCTTAACAGATACAGAGGAATTGGATTTCTGATTGGATTTCTATGCATTCTTGTGTTTAGCTATTTTGTATAACACTTATTTACTTTCTTTTGGATCATGGCCGCTTGCAAAGCCTGTATTGATTCTGTTTTGACTCATGCTCCATTTTAGATGTTACATGGATGTTTTGCATATAAACATAGAGTCTCTAATAGCCACAGCATTAAGTGCCACAGGTCAAAAAAACTGTCCACTGTCCTTTAAAGGCACACCATCTCAGAAAATAATTAAACTCTAAAACCATCCGGTGCTTAAAAAGGAGAGAAACCTGGATCCAGGGGAATACAGATCAAAGCAGATGCTAAACTACAGGATAGTGATTAATGAGGAGGCCTAGCAGGTTGAAAATCAAACATGAGCATTACAGTGTGTAAATTAGCCTGAAACTTGTGAGCCTTGATAGGAAAGATATTTTTCCTCTGTCTTGAGTAAATCTGTACTTTGAGATAAGGGCTGGCCTTTAGGTGCTCTGTGACCTGGGAGTGCAGCGTCTTAATATACCAGTGTTTCCGAGGGGAATCTTTCAGCTACTTTCTGTGATGCTGAATGGTTCCTTTGCTGTGTTCGCAGTCTTCTTAGTACCTTTTGTCTCATCAGCACTTTGCATTGAGAAACTGCCTATTTTACGTTATGGGCCAATCAAATGAGTGTAACCTTCATTAAAGGGAAGTCATCCAAAATAATAGCCCCATCACTGGCTTTGAATATGTATTGGATTAAGGGTATGTTGAGGAAAGTGCATTATAAACTGCGTATAAGATTGTTTCATTTATGTTACAAATAGTACAAAGCTTGCTGAGCTGTTGTTTTGAGCCCAACAGTAACCCATACCTTCTTATTAAAAAGCCCATTAAGATGTGTCTTATTACGTGTTCTAAATCATTAATTTTCAAAAGCAGCTTAGCTTGGACAGGCATTCAAAAGGGTGCTAATTAACATTTTCCTGTGTGGTATTAATAGGGATGATTTAACTTCCAGATTTAAGCAAAGAAGCATTGTTGTAACAGTTACGCTACTAAATCATTGGCTGAAGTTGAAAACATTAACATGGTTTCAAACACCTTTATGAACGACTTTGTACAGTAGGCCTTCGTTTCCTTTCGTCACATACAAGTAATTGTCTGCTCAAAAATGAGGATGATAAATAATGTAAGATAATGAGAGAGGATGCTTTTAGTGGTGTCGGGGGAAGAGCCATTTTCCGGAGAGCTTTTACAACTCTTAGCCTTGGATTTAGTGCTCACAATGTGTACACAAAACAGTGTGTGCTGTGTGAATTCTGTTTCACCCATGGCTAGTCCATCAACAGTAAAGTAAGTTAAAATAAAAGAAAAAAGGATGTTTGTTTTTCTTTGTTTATTCAAAAGAGTACCGTGTGACACACTTGTTTATGATTTAACATGTTTTTCACACTGTTTTGCAGACTGAGGTGTTACCTCTCAGAGGGCCCATGGATCTCCCTGTGGTGTTGTTTCTGCTGTGGGGACTGTTACTGGACTTGCTGAGTGGTGCGGTGGGTGGCATTCTATACCGCGTCCATGAGGAACAGCCTCCGAGCACACTGATTGGCAGTCTGGCAGCTGACCAGGGGCTACCAGACACTGGACACCTGTACAAACTGGAGGTGGGCGCTCCCTATCTGCGGGTGGATGGCAAAACTGGAGATATCTTTACCACTGAGATCCCTATAGACAGAGAGACATTGAAGGATTGTCGTAATAAAGGCAAGCCCTGCTTTCTGGAGTTTGAAGTGTCCGTCACAGACCTTATTCAAAATCAGAGTCCACGGCTGATAGAGGGAAGGATTGAAGTGCAGGATATCAATGATAACACACCACAATTCCCCTCACCTGTCCTTACCCTATCAGTTCCAGAGAACACCCACATGGGGTCACTCTTTTCAATTCCACTGGCCACTGACAAAGATACAGAGAGGAATGGAGTAGCTGACTACACCTTAACGGCAGGACCAGAGGCTGTAGCACTCTTTGGTCTGCAAGTTGCAGAGGACCGAGGTGAAAAATTGCCTCAACTCATTGTGTTGGGAAGTCTTGATCGAGAGCTAAAAGACTCCTATGACCTCACCATCAAAGCTGTGGATGGAGGCAATCCACCTCGCTACAGCAGTGCCTTGCTGAGGGTTGTCATTGCTGATGCCAACGACAATGCACCCACATTTGAAAAATCCTCCTACGAAGCAGAGGTTGCAGAGAACAGCCCAATCGGACACTCCGTGTTACAGGTAAAATGGCAAACATGCTAAGTCAACCTTTAGATCCAAACAAGGCAAGATAAATTGTCTATTGCATCATGTCTGAGTGTGAAATGTTAATGAGCACTGCTGTCCCAACCTCCCAGCTGTCTGTTCTTCACTTTGATGCTTTACATCAATGGAGCGGGGCCTGACTTACCACATTCACTTTCTAAAATGATTATTTATTTATTTATTTGACAGGGACAGTGTACATTAATTAACATTGCTGCAAATGCACCAGAATTAGCCAAAAGGCTATTTTTCATCCGTTGTCCCTGGACAGATCTTAAAATTGTCTACCTAAAAAAAAAAACACACAATAAGAAGATTACAGTGAACAATACAAATATAAAAAGCAGTAAAACAGATATAACTCTTCAAATCCTGTTGATAAATACAGTGTACAAGTTTGCTATAATACAGACATTATGTTAAAATAAAAAAAATATATATTATTATACACATTGACACAGCAGAGACACAAGTGGCAGCAGGTTGGGTTGAGGGAAGATTGATTAGAATAATCAATCAATTTTGATCATCACATAACACACTCATTTGGTTAAAAAATAAACAAGTAGATAAATTACTATAAACTATTATAGATTAATTTGAAAGATGTTATTGAGATGATCTGATGATCTGTATAGTTTGTTTTTAAGGAACCCCACTCTCTATAGATAGCCTATGCCCCAGAAATCTTGTTATGCAATACTCTGACTATGTTCCCAGTTTTGTGATATAAATAGATTCCCTGTGTTCAAATACCCAATATTTAATGCCCAGTGTCTAATGAATGTTGTTTTGCAGTCTTGTCCTATTTTTGTCTTGACTATGTGTAAAATCTATTTTGTTGTTATTTTTGTTTCACATTCTCATTTATTTCAGTCCAATTTATTTAATATTTTCTATTGCAGGTGAGGGCTAATGATTCAGACATGGGTCCTAATGGCGAGATTGAATACACATTACATCAGGCAATTGATCCTGTGCCAAAACTGCTCCGGATAGACCGCTCATCAGGCATCATATATGTCAAAGGCCCGTTGGATCGTGAGGAGATCAACAATTTGAAATTTTACGTCGTTGCACGAGACAAAGGTCCCTCACCCAAAAGTTCTAAAACGTATGTTTCTATTGATGTGACGGACCAGAATGACAATGCACCAGCAGTGGAGATTCGAGGCATTGGTCTTGTGACCCATAGTGATGGAGTAGCAAACATTTCAGAGGATATGCCAGTTGGTACAGCAGTGGCATTGGTACAGGTTTCAGACAAGGACGAGGGAGAGAATGCCGTGGTGACCTGTGTGGTTGCAGGTGATGTTCCTTTCCAGCTTCGGCCAGCCAGTGATTCATCAGTTGACAACAAGAGGAAGTACTTTCTGCAGACCACAACACCCCTGGACTATGAAAGAGTTAGGGACTACCGGGTGGAGATAGTGGCAGTGGATTCAGGCAATCCAGCTCTGTCCAGCACTAACTCGCTGAAAGTCCAAGTCACTGACACAAATGACAATTCCCCCATTTTCTCACCAACCCTGTTTGAAGTTGAGTTTGCTGAGGAGAACCAACCAGGAGAAAAGGTGGTAGATGTAGTTGCCTCAGATGCAGACAGTGGCACTAATGCAGAGCTTGTCTACAGCATTATTGCGGACTCTTCAACAAGGGGGCTTTTTGAGATTGACCCCAGCTCAGGCGAAGTACGTGCTCGAAGCCCTCTCGATCGCGAGCACAAGGAGCGCTATGAGTTCCGTGTTACTGCAGCTGATAAAGGGGTTCCGAGTCACAGGGGTACTGCCACAGTTGTAATCAAAGTACTTGATCGGAATGACAACGATCCTAAGTTCATGCTGAGTGGCTACAGCTTCTCAGTCTTGGAGAACATGCCACCTCTTAGCCCTGTTGGTATGGTAACAGTACAGGACATGGACGAGGGAGAGAATGCTCAAGTGCAACTTTCTGTGGAACCTGATGTGGGCAAATTTGTGATCCAGAATGGTACTGGCACTATTCTGTCCAGTATTTCATTTGACAGAGAGAAAGAGAGCAGTTACACATTCCGGTTGAAAGCTGTAGATGGAGGGGATCCACCCAGGTCCTCCTACGTTGGAGTGACCATCAATGTTCTCGATGAGAATGATAATGCACCGGTTGTCACTAAACCATCTAACTCATCCTTTATGCGTCTTTCTCCCATGGCTGCTCCAGACAGTGTTGTAGAAGTGGTGGAAGCAGAGGACATTGATTCTGGTTCCAATGCTGAGCTAGTATACAGCATTGCTGGGGGAAATCCACATGACCTTTTTTACATCTCTCCATCTAATGGCGAGATCACACTAACAAAGGAACTAACTCGAAAACATAGTGGTCTGCATCGACTGGTGGTAAAAGTGAGTGACAGAGGCAAACCATCCCGCCATGCCATTGCCTTGGTACACATTTACGTAAATGAAACCATTGCTAATGTAAGTCATGTGGAGGCACTTGTGGGGCATAGCTTGTACACCCCACTGGACATGGACATTGCAGGTGACCCAGATTATGGTTTGGCTGCCCAGAGAAGCAACATAGTATATGGCAGTTTAGCAGGAGTGGCGGGAGTTGTCACTGTGATTGTTGTGGTGGTCTTCATCAGGCATCGCCTTCAAAGAGAAGCAAAGAGTGGTTATCAGGCTGGTAAGAAGGAGACCAAAGATTTGTATGCCCCCAAGCAAGGGCCAAAAAGTGGCAAGGGGAGAAAGGGTAAAAAAGGTAAGCCACCAAAGTCACCTAAACCTCTTGGAGAGGATGAGGAAGTCAGCCTTCAAAAGAGTCTGAAATTTAACCTTGATGGGGTCAACGACAGCCCCAGGATCCATTTGCCTCTGACATATCCGCCTGGAAGCCCTGACCTAGGCAGGCACTACCGTTCCAATTCCCCATTGCCCTCCATCCAGCTCCAGGCCCAGTCCCCATCTGCCTCCCAAAAGCATCAGGCTGTCCAGGAGCTCCCTGCTGCCAACACCTTTGTGGGAACAGGTGGTGATGACAACTCCACCGGCTCAGACCAGTACTCGGATTACAGCTACAAGACCAATCCACCAAAATACAGCACAAAAACGGTACCAAAATCTTTTTCTTTTTCTGATTTTATATGTATAATGCGGTGATGGGGGAAAATGGGTTTTGCAATTACTAATATGTGCCATTCCAACATTGTTTAGAATGGTACTTGTGCTAAAATAGTGGGTGTTGATATATGAACATTTTATTATATATATATATATATATATACTAAATATTATTCTCATTTTAATAAGTGTGTTCGCTGAATTCCCAGTGTATAATGTGAAAAGACCATCTTGGCATACAAGAATCTGTCTGTTTGAAAGATGTCAAAAATGACTCTTGTGTTACATCATGCTCCCTGTATATATACTCTGGTCACCAATTCACTATCTGAAAATGCACTTCAATTTACTTTGTGAATAGACAAAGGTTCAGTCATGAAATTATTTCATTGTACTTTATGTACAGTGTAGTGTGGTTGAGTGTAAAATGGCCATATTTGCAAGAGCTCATGCTTTCTCTGATTTCTAATGTAATCTGATCTACCCAGTGAGAGGTGCCCATCTGACCTGCTGCTATTGAACAAGTCCAAAGCCATTTTCTTTGGCTCAGATGGAATTTCAATCTGACCCATTCAGCATGTTAATTTCCGTGTAAAACAATTGGTTCTATGATGTGGATCGAGGGGAATTGTGAGAAATTTAAAAATGAGTATAATATCTGGTGAGAGTGGTAGTAAATTTTACTGGGCAGAGGAGCCGGAAAGCAAGGGCACATGGGTCCTGACTCCGTCAGTACCAGTCTGGTGTTTGATAAAGCCAGCAGATGCTAGATGACAGTCAGGGTGAGTGCAGGCCTTGCAGACTCACTGACTGGGGAGAACAGTTACCCACGGCATCTCCCACACCGTGATGGACAGCATATGGCATGGAAGTGACAATAGACTCCAGCTATGGAGAGTGTGCTGCATTGCTGTGTATTGTTTGTGTGTGTGTGTACTTCTAGGTTTCTGCATGCACTCATGTAATCCCTTTGTGTGAATGTGGGCTGAGGTTCCTGTGTGTGGACTGGTTTCAGCAAGTCAGCCTATTTGATCAGAATCCCACTTGACGACATGCATTACATAAATGGATATTTGTATCTGTGAGAGTTAACTGATAGGCATATAAACAAGGGACAGATGTTGACTCATATGACATCTCTTGGCAGATGTGAACTCGTGAGGAAACCCCCTACATCCCATGCAAAACCCACATCAGGCTTAACAGATTGACCAAAATAAAAAATTTAAATCTCAGCCAAACTGAGTGACAGATGTGCAGAGTGGAGCATGACAGAGCGAATGGTAATACGCTCAGCGATGACTCGTGCGTGTGGCAATGCGCTCAGGTGCGTTTGACAGTCTCGGCTCAAGCTCTCCCACTTTAAGCTCTGATGAGTGTAAACACAGTGGCCTTGTTTGCCGTTTATTGCCAGTGAGGATGGAGCGTGATGACTGGCTTCACTGCTTTCCTTCCTGGTCCGTAAAAAAACTCATTAAGAGGAGTTTGTTTGTTCGGAAAGACTTATCCTGAGGTGTGAAAAAAAAAACTCAATGCTCAATTCACAGGGCCATGGCCTGACTCCGTGAGGAGAGATTTGTTTAAATGTGTTGCTGTGTGGTGTGTTTGTGCATGTGTCTTTCACAGTTCATGGATCTTCCCAAAACTCTCTCCCTATAACCTCCAAATGTGTTAGACTGTGTGACAGTTACCGAGGGGACTGTATGGATTTATCCAGTACAGTGCTGATAATTAGCTTGGTCATGGCTAAGATCTAACACCTTTTTAGTGACGTGTTCCTCTCTCTCCGGAACAGCCTTGAGTGAGAGACATTAGCGCACAGTCGGGATCAAGGGAGAGACCTCCCCAGTTATTTTTAAATGGGGGTGATGAGAGCTTGTGAAGCTGTAAATCTGTGCTTAAATTAAATCCATACAATTAAAATGCCTTATTAGATGGAGATAACACTCCGTTTTCCTCTCTCTTTACCATGGGCTGCCCTTCATCTCCAACTGGAGGGAGGAGGATTGGGAGGTAGGGATTCAGGTTGGATTTTGGGGTGTGCTTTAATTAGGGAAACGCATCTCTTAACCTTGCAAGAGCCAGTGTGTTGGAAGAACACTCACACAGTTTGATTGTTTAATTCCCCTTCTGTGTCGCTACTTGCAGTAGAATTGAGCTAGATGGAGTCACAGTGTTGCACTGTTCTACTTTTGATTTATACTTTTTTAAATGTAAATGAAAATAACAACTATTTTATAAATTACATTTTCGAAATAACACAAAATTCACTAAAATTTCCTAAATTCACAACTGACTTTCACATTCTGACTTGAAATTAATGCTAAAGCACAAATTCACTAAGATATTACATGCAGATGTTACAGTAGTTGTAATATTCTATTTAGATATATCTGATTAATTAAATATGTGTAGGATGCTTTGGGGTTTGAGTCAAATCTCTAACAAAGCGCTTCAGTTTATCGATTCACTGGTCAGCTTCAGCTCACACAGCTAAAGCGGGGCATTTAAAGGCATCATTGACCAATAAATTGGTCAATAATAAATGTAAAATCTACATATACAATAAATTGGTTATTCAAACACAACTCCAAAAACAATGTTTGCCCTTAACAAGTTTAAAACACTGCCTTACTGGTTGGACAAACGGGTTACTTCTCTCCCAAACGTATTTGTTCAGCCATTGTATTATATCCAGGTCAGTCGGGTCGCTTAAACCGATTGCAATTATGTGTGATGCAGCTAATGGTGCAGAAATATCACACTTCACCTTTAATTCACTAATCCATTTTTTATTTGATTTCCCAGCAAAAATAAGTATTGTGATACAGTCAGACAATACATATAGCATGTTTCAGACAGCAAAAATGTCTCATACTATGATACAAGATTTATAAGATTCAGCTCACCCTTACTCTGTCAAGACTGCTTTTACCATCCAGGGGATGGCAAAACTAAGTAAAAGCAGTGAAGTGAAGGCTACCAAAGCATTGTAGCTGAAAAATAGCTCCAAGCCAAGCCTTTTCCTGCTATCTCCACTCCATCTCCCTATCTTCATATCTACCACACACGTCTCATATTCTCTGGCAAGCAAAGCTTTAAGATAAGAGGATCTACCATAAAAAATGTTGCCTCTCTACAGACCATTCTTTCCTTCTCTTTCTCTCTTTTTTCTTCACTTTAGTACATTAAGCACCTTATTTAACGAATCCAGCGTGGCCACAAATCAGCCCTGGTACTACCAAGATATATTCAGTACCTTTAGAGCCCCCTGCTCTTTGTATGGCTCATCTCCTGCTCATATATTCTCTATGTGAGGCAGCCCTGCCTTTATGGAGGCTGCCTTAAGGCCCTTCCCAGAATCCCACATTTTGAGCATCTGCTCAACCCAGCTCTGGCTAATATCCATAGCAGAATGCAGCCGTAAACCTCAAACCTGGCACCCACCCTCTCAGATCTCCCCTCAGTGAATACAGCCCATAATACCCTCAGACTGCTCCTCATTAGAGCACAATACTGCCGGCACTCAGCTCCCTCTCGGTGGACCAATCTACTGTCAGGTGTGAAGGCCTCACAGGCTCATGCTCAGCGTGAAGACAACTGCTGCACTTACAGGAATTTGAGATTTCAAGGCACCCTCCCTTCCTCCAGCCTGCAGGAGCAAACAACTAAGCAATTATCAAGGAATACTTTGCAATGATATTCTACTGAGATCACTCATACTGAGGGAAATTAGCACAATAAGGCAATTCCATTTCAACTACAGCTGGTGCACTTGTGTCAACACGGCAGATGCCATCTAGACAACAGGAAGGGTCAGATATGCATTCTTGTTTGTACAGAGTCTTACGAGAGGGTCTCTCTGGGACTAACAAGTCCCTGCAGGCACTTATGGACTGACTGGTCTTGGCTGACACTTCAGAATCGATTGACCTAGACAAGTGCTCAGGGATTTAGTGCACTGGGCAGACATATTCCAAACGAGTAATCTTGTCCGGTAGTGATAAGACTGTATAACCACAAAGTTCTTTACAGTTCTTTCTTTGCCATTTTGTAGTCAAACCACATTTTGGCCAACAACGAATTTTAGAATGTTCAAGCCGGTTCTTCTGCCAAACTGATTCACTAGATATCACCACTCTGTTGGATCTCTACTTCAAATAAATGAGACCGACATGACATTTTGAGTTTGGGCTAATCGATTCTCATGATCTTGACAAGCACACTGGGATGGGCCCTGCAGAACTGACACAGTAGAATTGGATCATCTCTCTCTCTGTCTCTCTCTCCCCTCTACCTAAATCTCAAAAGGACATAAACTCTTTCAAAAACTTGGGATTTGAGAAGTGGAAAGGCCTGCGTAAATCTTTATGCCTCTGGTGCAGTCCTTATATGCTTTGTTGGCGATTTTAATCTAACATCCCAATGATTACCTGTTATACAGGATTACAGCCCCAACCCAGGAGGTGCTTCACTGGCAAGAGACTGTTTCTCTGTCACCGAAGGAGATGGCTGATGTTGTTGAGCCGTTCGACAGCGAAGCGCAGTGCACCACAGCTGCACACAGATGTGCGACTAATGATAGTGTCGTCGAAGACGAGGATGACAATAATGATAATGATTATGGTAATATGCAAGTGTTCACAGTCAGATTCATTTCCTCCCAAATATATTTCTGCACACAACCACAAGGAGCCTGATTTATGCGAATGTTGTCTGAGAAGCATTTTTCTACATGGGTGTTTACGAAGCGATGTCATTTTTTTCACTGCGCCGGAGGCACAGCATCTCTGATTTCATCATATTACATTCTTGCTTATGATATGAGAAGAGAAGAGAAAGCTATGATAAGGATGAATATAGAAAGGGTGGGCTGACACAATTATGAACAATTGTCATACAAATAATAGAGATCATTATAGTCCACTTTTCATTAACACAGGAACCCAGCCAACCTGGATAATACATTATGGTGATGTATTGATAAAAAG